AGAACACTTCTGCGTGTTTAACTTTTGAGCGTGTGAATAGTCCCTTTCAAGTCAGTGCCCCCACAGCATGTCCTGACTAAGCAAGGTCAAGATCCCTAGTCTCCTGGCTCACACCATTGGCCCTGTGCACCTGAAAACATTGTCTCCTCCATCCCCTCTGCTGACACGAATGTCACAAGCACTTAAACCATTGTACTTACTAAAAGCATTTTGTATTACTCAAAGACAGATGAGTAAAGGTGATAATTTTTGATGCAAAACAGATCCGTATATACACACTGGTTACGACTTCACTGAGCCAAAAGCTGAACCAAGCCCATTACAGACCTACCTTTAACAGAGGCTGAGTAGGTAGAAATGATGCAAAGGAACAGCACGGTGAGAAGAATCATGCTGGACTCTCCCAGGCTCCTGGCTGCAGCATGAAGTGTGAGAGCCTCAAAGAAGTGAGCTGCTGAGAGTAGAGTGGCGCTTGCAGAGAGAGCCACTGGGTCGGCCACACTGTTTATCTAGATGTAGTAAAGGTCAGAATTCCAAATTCCACACTCAGGTACTAAGTTCATCAAAGGACTTCCAGTTAATTATTAAGAACTAAGGTAACTGGTGGTTTCTACCCCATTTTATCAATCACCCTGGCTTTCATTTTTGAATACTGAGCCCACCCAGCCACATTTCTGAGCGAGGGAGCCCACCTCCAGTCCTGGAAGGACCAGGAAATCCTGCCACTCCTCCTCTGTCTGAACAAAAGGGCGATTGGGTCTGTTGCTGCCAGGGGCAAAATCCTGACCACTATCTCCCCTGTTTTGTATCAACTCTCTGAGCAACCCAAGAGGCAGATTCTTCCTGGAGTCTTCCTGCCTTCCTCTAAGCAGAAGTACATGGGATTTATCAGTCCCATCCCCCAAAATGATGCTACTTAGTTATGGAGACTCAGATGCAATGTCAGTTCCTGCTATATGGTATCATACCAAATAAATTCTCTTTCTTTTAGCAGTCTCAGCCCCCATCTTACATCATTGCAGTGGCAGAGGTTAGAGACTGGAAAGATGAGCTAAACCAGCCATTCTGTCCCGCCTCAGTGAAGAGGACTTGCTTGACTAAGTCTGGGAGCAGGACAAACCAAGCTCTGCTGCTCACCCCTATTTTCCCCTTTTCTCACACTCGCTTCACCACTTCCCCTGACAAGCCCCCAGCTGACTAACCCACGCGCTTCCCTGTCTCCTCTGAGAGCAAATCCCAGGCCATCTCGCACTAATCCTCATGGCTGCATGGCTCACTCAAGGACCTTCTTGTCGTTCAGGTGACAGAGGGGCAGTAGGTCACCCTTCCACGTTCCTTGGTATGCCCTGGCTGTCATGGCCTGCGAGGGGGCACCCCCTCCCCCAGCATAAGAAGCCTCCCTGGCTGTGCGAGAAGGGAGGATCTGGTCTTTCTTGTAGAGGAGGCAGACCTGTGAGGCACCACCACGCTCTTTCGCTCCACTTCCAGAGGCTGCTTTAACAAGACTGCAAGCTACCAAGACCCTGACTGAACCAGTGCCGCTCCAGGCTGTGTTTAGCTGCTTCCAGCAAGCCATTTCTGCCCCCAGCTCCTCTGCAGTAGTAAGGGATTGTAAGGTGAGCACAGCCTTTGCCTCGAGTGGTAGAAATGCCTCCTTCGTTGCCTTGAGGTAGAAGAGGAGCAGAGCGCCGTGGATGTCAGTCATCACCCAGCAGTGGGAAACAAGAGGTCCATGCCGATGCTCCTCGCTCCGCGCTCATCTTGCTGCACCTTGTGCAGGTCCCCACGGGAGCTCTTTGTGTGTTGTGTGTGCGTGTGAGTGCATGTGGGAGGGAGGGAGGGCATTAGTAGGAAAACTGGTGGACTGCTACTGCTTTCTCCCCAGTCTGTGGTTATTCATGCTGCTTCCCCAGTGCAGGCTGTGATGTGCTCCTGAATTCACGGGACTGAGGCAAGGAACTCCAGCAGATCCTTTTGCTGCATTTGGCAAACAAGGAGCTTGCCAGGCTTTCTGTGCTTTTTTGATAAAAATATGGACACTACCTGTGTGCAAAACCAACTCTGGCTAGAGAGAGAGCAGAGGTAAGGATCGTGCTTTGGAAATGCAACGTTCACACTTCACTCACAAGGAGGAGTTGATGTTGGTCTGAAATCTGGAGAAGAGCAATTGTCTTCTTCTTATGCTCTTGGGACATAGGAAATGTATTTCTTCCTTGAAATAAAGTTATTTAGAAAAAGGGCCTCTCTTAGACACTAGAATATCAGAGGGCAGATCCCCTGCTGAGGTAAATCAGCATATCTTTTTGGACTCCACTGTAGTAGTGCCAGTTACAGAACTAAGGCTGTAACCATCATGTAGAAAAATAGTGTACATACATCTCCATGTGCATATACACCTGTATACATAACCATAACACATACTTGGTATATTCTTCAAATGTTTTAAAAACGAGGCCTGAGGCTCACCTCAGTTACAGCCAGAGTAAATCAGCAGTAACTTCCTTGAAGTCAAATTACACCAATGAAAGAAGCGTTGCGCCCACCAAAGTCCACTACACGCAGAGGTTGCAGGATCAGCCCCTAATGTACGCTTCACGCCATGCTGGCATATGTACTGGGGTCAAAGTATTGCTGTTGCTGCACATTTTCCAGAGTCCAAACTATAAGGCTCGTATCTTTATATGACCTAATAAAACTAATGAGATTTCCTCACATCTTCTGAGGTCAACAAAATGTTTTTGTCTTTTCTTCACAAGCAACAGTGTGATGATCTCGATTTTCAACTCATACTTTTGGTTATGTGCACCAAAGTACCCAAGTCCATCTTTGCCCTTCAGCTGGTGCCTGTGTGCCCCAGCTCCCAGGGTTTCGGTGAATAAGACACCCCCTGTTTCTGCCACAGGGAACAGAGAGGAGGGAGATGCCCAGCCAGGCCACTGGCTAAAGGTGAGTTGTGCATGTCACTTGCGTCCTAAGCCTCGCCTCAAGCCCTGCGGTCAGACCTGGCCCACAGAGTGATGTCTGTGTCCCCACCTAAGCCTCCACCGAGTATCTTTTTTCCTCTCTCCTTACTCTGCCTCTTGACTTGCAGCACTGTTTGTACAAAATGCTTCGATATGCAGTTTTAAACTATGGGGTGTTGAGTATGTTCTGTTGCTGCGGGGGAACTCACCATTTGAATGAGCATCTTGAAAAGTCATGTTATGGCTCTATCAAAATAATGAAACTCAGCTAGACAGCTCTTTCTCAATATTTGCAAATGCTCAGGTCTTCAATTTGCTATGTCACCGCTTGGCACTTGGCAGAATTCAGAAAACATTGCATTACATTGTACCGGTGTCTGAGGACACAGGGAATCTGGATTAGCAATACTGCTGCTTTGGAAATTGCAATATGAGAAAAACAGATTTATAAATCAAAATGCGTAAGCGGTTTCTTCATTCTAAGAAAAAGCACATCTGATTATGTGAATTTGTTAGATGCCTTTTTGCTTTATAAAAACAAAGCAAGCAAGCAAATGGGCTTCTATCACTAACTGGTCTGCAGCCTTTTAATGACCAAGAGAAAATGAAGGATTCTTCATGGAGACAGTGGCACATTTGGACTTGTGTGATGATGGCGTGTGAAGCTAGATATTAATAGTAACATGAGTGAGCTTTTGAATAGACGCTAGCAAAAGCAAATGCAAATCTAGCTATTGTAAAAGGAATACAGGGAATAGGAATCACAAATTAAATCAAATATTACATCGAGTATTAAATACCAACAGCAGTTAAAGGTCAATGCCTTACTATAGTGACATCATACAGTTTTGTGACTTTAACATAGCCATAGTAAACCTGAAACCAGCACTCTAAAACTCAAAGAGGGTATATATCTGGAACCAATGAAACTTGAGATGAACATTGATGCATGATGAGAAGGGTATTATGGTAGCATGCACTCGTATGTTTGCTAACTTTGTGTGCCTCAGTTAACCAGGGGCGAAGAGATATCTACATATTTAGGCTGCTCAAAATGTATTTTTCTTGTATAATATAATCCTGGTCTCCAGAACAGACTCCTGTACCAGGGCAGCATTCTCTCATGAAGTTATCTGAAGAAGGAAGAACGTTGCTCTTCGCCTACTATTGACACCAGAATTTAAAAAGTTAATTGGCGGTGGCCTTTAAGCGTGAAGGTGCATACCCCTTTTTAGGGGGCAGAGGGAATGCGGCATTGCTGGGGGACCTTTGGAGCTAGAAATCTGCTCTGAGGAATGTGACCACTTAAAAATACTTCGCTGGCCCCTGCGTGAACTCAGTAGTGTCATCAAAACCATCAGATAAAAATAAGGTTTTCTTACTTTTCGCTCCTATTAATCCCGTGGAGCCACCGCAGCGGTGAGGGGAGGTGGGGGGGGGGGGGGGGGGGGGGAAGCACAGCTTTCCTATGATTCTCAGCAGCGGCATTAGCACACCCGTTGAGCCTGCCAGCGCGTACCCCGTCTGATTTCAAAGCAGTCGGCCCATCCGTGTCCCTACCTGCAAGGGCAGGGCCGAAAGGCCCCTAAAACCCGGCCACAGCGCCCACGTCCACCCTCGCCCGTCCTGCTGCCGTGACAGGACCAGGCCAGCAGTAACAGCCTCGGCTCGTCAGCGGCTGCTACCAGCAATGACACCAAAAAAAAAAAAAGAGAAACAGAAACCCACCCAAACCACGACTGATTTTCAAAGTGCGTTTGTCAGCCTGGTAGTTTTTTCTTTATTTGACTGGAAGCTGTTGCAAGCGGAACTAGAACCGACTCAGAACGCGACTGGCGGTGTAAGCCCTCGGAGCGACCGGGGCGGGAGCAGCTCCCCACCCGCCTGCGCGGCCGGGAGGCTCAGGTCCCGCCAGAGCCGCCAGCCGGGAGAGGGGCCGCACCCCACCGCCCCGCGGCCTCCCCGCATCCAACCGCCGCGGCGCTTCCCCCTCAGCGCCGGGCCGGTTGTCCGTTGGCGCCACGTGACCGCCGCCCGTTGCTCGCCGGGATTTGAAGTCGGGGCGGACGGGGCGGCTCGCGCACGGAAGGGGTGGGGGGGGGCGATTCATTCTCCTCCTCCCGTCACCCGCCCCCTCCCCACCCCTGGCCTTGCGCGTGGGGCGGCTCGTGGGTACGTGGGCAGCGCCCTTCCCCCCCACCCGAGACCCCTTGGTGCGGTGGGGGGGGGGGGGAGGGGGCGGGGAGTTGGGGTGCGGGGGGGGGGCTCGGCTTTCCTCAGAGGGCAGGAGGGGAAAATGGCGGCCTCCCAACGGCCTGGGGAGCGTAACCCCCCTGTGGGCGGGGGTGGCCGGTCCTGTCGATTTATGAGGTACTTCGGGGCGTGAGCAAAAATAACGCGTGTGTTTCCATATATATAACGGGTGTATACATAGATACGTGTGTATATATATAGCTCGGCGTGTGTGCGTGTGCACGTGCCTATATATACACGCACGGAGGGACGCAGGGCGCTCGGTGGGTGCGGGGCGGGAGCGCGGTGCCGGGCCGGCCCGGCCCGTTTAGCACCCGCCACTGCCCCGGCTCCCCGGGCCTTGCGTCCTAACACCCCCAGACGGGGAAACCGGGGTGCGTTACCTAAAACACTTGAGGTTTTCTGGTGTTTAATATGTTTTCTGCCTCTTCTCTTGCTGAAGAAGCCCGGGGATTTTTTGTTTGTTCGTTTGTTTGTTTGTGTGTTTGTTTGTTTGTTTGTTTGTTTGTTTTTTTCCTACGTGTGGGCTGTAGATACAGTGTTCTGTAGTGAAGCAGTTATTTTTGGAAAATTATGTGACTGTTGAGCACAGGGGAGCTACTAGTATGAAGAAGTAATGCTTGCCATTGAAAGGGAGAAGGTGTAATTGATTTGAATGCAGAACATTTTGCCGAGTAAAAGTTTAGTTTGTTCATCCCCTTACTTGCTGTGTTTTGTGTACTGACAGCAGCCAGCGTCAGTGTTTGGCCAGTGTCTTTGGTTCTCAGAAGGAATAAAAATTTATTTTGAAGGGGTGCAGCTTGTTCACACTTCTTCCCCGCCCCCCATCAGAATGGCTTTAGTCTCTTTAAAATTTTATTTCTCTAACATGCTGCCATAGATATATCACAATATACTGTTTAATTTTTTGTCTTTGTGTACACATAATAGTGCTGCTAATGTTTTTTCTTTTACCTTTAATCCGGTGTGATTCCCCACCTCTACGCAATTGTGTTTTCACAAGGTTTTTGATAGGAAACTATTGTACTGCTACAGATGTAGCAGGCAGTTCTAGATATGATTTAAATATAGGTTATAATCTCTCTAGTATTTTATATGTTACTGTTTGCAGAGGCACTAACCTAGCTTTAAACAAACAAACAAAAAAGACCATCTCATTCATTATTTTTTCTTTATTCAGGTTAATGATGGTTGTAGAGTGGTATTTGTTCTAACTGAACTTCTCATAATAGCACTCATGCTTTTGTTCTGTTTCTTACAGAATTGGTGAAGGAAAAGCTTGCTTTTAATGACATACTTATCACGTGTTGAGAAACAAGTCAGTAAACCTGGCCAAAAGCTAATGTCGTCAGAAAAACCAAGAGAAAGTCCAGAGGTGCCAACGGAAAATACCATGTCCCCTGAAGTCCCTAATGTGGAAGGAAAGGTGAATTCAAGTGACAGTCCAGTAGAGAGACGGGAAGCAGGCTCAGACAGGGAAGAATGCCTTGAGCCCATGTCCAAGAGGCAAAGGAAGAAGCTATTGAGGCAGAAACAGTGGGAAGAACAGAAAGATCTACGGAGGTATGGTTTGCAAAGTAGCTTTCCTAGGACCATGTGTAGTATTTAGTGCTAATAATAACGATGTGTCAGCAGAATTTGCATTTAGATTGCTTTAGTAAATCAAGGCAGTCAAACCAGTTTTCTCCCATGCCAGGTTTAAAGCAGTAGTAACACTTTAATCACACACAGCTACTCCATGTGCATATAAAGAAGCTATAAAGGTAAGCATCCTCTGTTCATACTAGAAGTGTTCCTCGACTTGAAGAGAGTATCAGGAGGGCTTCAAAGGTGCATAGTTTTGGTTTGTCAGAAAGGAGAAATGACGAGTGGCCTTGTTCCTTTCTGAATGGGCTGCGCCCTCTTTCCCTGTTGCTGTCAGATTTGGTGAATCTTACAAAGACAGTGAATAAAAAAAAATCATTTTGACACATGAATTGTTATGCTGTACGTTATGTTGACTTTGAATCTCTTAGTAGTTTTGGAAGATGATGAGCTTCTGTTTTATTCTGTCGAGAGCAAGCATATCTGCAAATGGGCTCATCATGGTTTATCCTTGTCCTGCAAAATGCGAAGTGTTCCTCTCCAAGACAGTGTCGGTTAAAGTTGCTGTCTCCAAAATGTGATCTCCCAACTGCCTACTCCCATCAGCATAACAGGGGGAAGAAGCAATTGCTTCAGAGGCCTTTTGAAAAACTGTTCAGTGAATCAGGTCGTCAATTGCCATCCACATTCTGCTTCTGATACTGCAATTTTGGCAATCTTTTTGGTTGTTTCTCTTGCGAGACCTGACTCAGAGCACCCTTAAATCCATGAGACTCCCACTGTTGACTTCACTTAATTTGTGACAGATGTCTTTGTGGGTATATACAGAACTTCACAAAGACAGGATGTGTGTTTCATGCTGGTATCAGCCCGGCACAAATGCAAGGAACAGGATAAGTTTAAACTGCCACAGCCATGGGACAACCACCTTGACTATAGAAGCATGCATTTATGCGCACAACATGTAGTACCTCAGCAGATTTGGCAGCGCTTTTTGAAGATTTACTTTTTGTTGTTGTTTATTTAGGCAGAAACGAAAAGAAAAACGCCAGAAAAGAAAACTAGAACGTCGGTCAAAATTGGACTCCGGTAACGAAGGGAGTGACAGGAAGCGTATGCGCAGGGAAGTTGTTCCTAGTACACTTCGCCTCATTGTGGATTGCAGCTTTGATGACTTGATGGTGCTAAAGGTATAAGAAGCTTACTTGTCACATACAAATGTTGAAAGGTTCTCCAGTGACAGTATTAATGCAGTGTCAGAGCACAAAAACTGGAGAGCAGCTTGCAGAGGACAGTTAGCATGTTTCACATTGTGATGACTCCCAGACCTGCTTTTGTCAGTTGCTGAACTTTTTAGGGTTAGGAATGTACCTTTATATAAGCTTGCCAAAGATCTTGTTTGCCTTCGTGGAGATAGGGTAAGTTGGTTTGATTGCAAGAACAGGAATACAGAAACAGTTTGTGTCCCATGTTCAGCATGAAGTTAGATGCAGTTCTGCCTCAAAATGGTTTTACTAGAGGGGCTGCAAATGTCACATCCAGTTACTTTCTCTTTCAAAGTAGACCCAGGGCTCCCAACTGTGTTAGCAAGTATCTGTGGAAATAAGAATTTTGAGCATTAGGAGGATACTGAGCTTTTTCTCAGTCACATGGGAGGCCGTTGGGACAGGAGGATACTATTCAGCCCGTCTCTGAAATTTTAAAATGGGTGAAAGAATGGGTGAGGTAGGTAGGGTAGGTAAATGTGAGAAATATCAGCATGATACCCAGCTACTGGTCAAGATGCTTGGTGTGGTCTTTTGAGATCAAAACAGCTTTAATTCTGATAGGAAAGTATGTTAATCAGCAGCCTCTTGTAAGTGCAGCCTTTGGTTTCTGAGGCAGACCTCTCCCCTCTCTGTTCCCCTGAGCTCTGCTGCTGCTGCCAGGGACTTCACTGCCCTGCAGGACTGCTTGAATGCAAGCATTTGCAAAGCCCATCTGGCTACTTGTTGAGTGTAATGCAGAGTATGTACAGCACTAATGGAGGCTAGTGCCACTCACCACAAAATTTTGGGGAAGCTCCGGTTGGCGTTTTGGAACTTGGTTACCCGAGGAGGCCTTCAGCAGCGCTCTAGAAGAGACCAGAAGACCCCTTTCATAGTTTTGGAGATGCTGACTGGGCATTTCCTGCTGAGCTTCATCCTTCGTAAAACACGTTTCCTTCTTTGGTCAGGCAGAGCCCCTGTTAGGCCTGATATAAAAACTGGCACTTCTGCAGATGTTTAGGAAAGGTGAAGCATTGTAAGTGAAGGTGGTTGTGACCTTTAGCAATGGGGTTAATTAGATGCTTTCTCTAGTGTCTGTGAACTCTTATTGCAATCTTGTAGTGATAAGGTCTAGTTTATTTGAAATCCTTTGGAGATACCAAAACATTCTCAAAGCACTATGTGAATCAAAGCAATAGAATGTTGTTTCATTTTAAAATGGGAATCAGTTATATTGATTTTGGGGCGTTAAGAACAAAGCTATGTAATGTACCGTACAAAAATCGCAATTGGATAAAAATTAAGTCTGCTGCATTTTAAGTGGTACTAGTTAACTGTTGTCCAAATTGTCAGGTCAAAATGCTAGAACCAGCCACTGAATTATTTGCATTTTTCTTGGGTTCTTCAGGTTAATTACGCATATTTGATTTTCTTAAATATAAGGTGTATATTCTCAGGGTTTTCCCATGAGTGAAAGACTGACTATTGTCCCAATGATAAATCTGCTTGATTCCTCAGATTAATTTTGAGTATGTTATTGAATATAATTAAATTCCAGTGATTTTTGTTTGTTTTGTTTATTTTGTAGAATAATGCAAATTGAGCACACATGTAGAGGTGTCTAAATACACTTTTGTGGAAGATAAGTGTGTTTCCTTGTCAGAATAATCCCTTCACAATGGCTGTTTTTTCTCTCAGGGTCTGATGTCCACATTCTCTCAGTAGTCACTTTTGCCAGTTAAAAGCTTCCTTTTTCTCTCTTTAGCTTCTGACTGGCTCATGGTAAAGCATTTTGTGGTGGTCTGTCTGAAGGACTATGTAAAAACAAATTGTGTTGTATACAGGATGTTAAGAAGCTTCACAAGCAAATTCAGAGATGTTATGCAGAAAACCGCAAAGCGTTTCATCCTGTACAGGTATGTTTAAAGGAACTGAGCACTGACTGTATTCCCATGCACAAAGCATATGAGAAAGGCAGCTGTGGCCCAAGTGGTGAGAACTATATTAGGAAAAAAATCATTTAAGCAGCCTCTTGTTATTAAGAAGATTATTTCTGGTTTAATAGATAATTTTCAACCCACATGTTATAAAAATCCCTGTATGTCTAAAAAAAATATGTGCGTGCAGATAAAGAGTGCCAGTTACTGGCATGCCATTAAGATACTGTTGATACTCAGTTTTATCTGTGACAGATAAAAAAGAAAAGTGCCTGTAAGTGCATATTTGTCTTTTAAATGTGTTGCTAACTGTACGAATGTGGTCTTAGTACCACTTTCAGCCAAAAAATAATTAAGAGTTTTAGCTAATAGTTAAGGGCAGAAAAAGTCTTGTACAGAAACATTTCAGTGTTTTGTACCTCTTTGTTCTTTTTGAAGTTTTACTTGACCAGCCATGGGGGACAGCTGAGGAGCAACATGAACGAGAATGACAAAGGATGGGTGAACTGGAAGGTGAATAGTTGACTATTTCTGTAAAAGAGAAAAAGAAGTCTTGCTTATAGTTGCTAACTAGGTCATTAGTTATATAGGACCTGTGCTTTTTCCTCGTGGGTTTTTCTAAGACATCAGAGCAATAGCATATTAGAAATAGCGTGGCTCTTTGTGCTTTTAATTAATTTAACTTAAATAAGCCAAAGACTGCTTGTCTCAAACCTAGATTTGATTTTTGCTTGAAAACCTCCACACGCATCTGTTTTCACCTATGTTTGTTGAACAGGTTCCATTCTCTGATAGACTAAGCAAGACTAATTGATTTAGGCAGTTCTGACAGTCATCTGTCTTGACAGTGCTCTTTTTTTTTTCTTGGTGAAAAATAAGACTTTGACGTGATGTGATTCTCTTGTGTCCACCTTCACTTCTGTTGTGTTGCCTCTGAACACTAAAGTGTTCTTTAAAGAAGTAGCTTGTCTTATGGTCAACTTCAAATGAAGAGCACTTTGCATAAATAAAACCAGTTCTACTTTTAGTATGTCTTGTGTGATAGCTGCTTTGCAAAAGCATAGCATAAATCTTGCTTGTCAGAGAGGCAATGTTAACTAAGTATTTACTTCTGGTTTTGCTTTTTTTTAGAAAGGTGGGATTGCAAGTTATTTGGATCCCTAGGAGAAATATGGTAATGTTAATTTGAAGGGAATCACAACAACTTAAGGATTTGTAAAATTCTTCTGGGGTTTCAGAAAATTTCCTGATGATTTTTACAAGTCAGTGCTGTAGGGACTGCAGATTATTTATGCAGAAATTAATCTGCACTGTGCTATGCACTTAAATATGAATAAGGGTTGTGGTATGACTGCATACTATTGGATTTATTTTTGCTTGTTCCATCTTGGGTCTGTAAAGCTTGCCCAGCAATTCATCAATTGAATGTAACTTTTTAACTCTCTTTTTTTGAGGATATCCAAATTAGAACAGAGCACTATAGTGAGCTAATAAAGAAAGAAGACCTAGTATATCTTACCTCAGATTCCCCAGATATTCTCAGTGAGCTTGATGAGAAGAAAGCCTATGTGATTGGAGGACTGGTAGATCACAATCACCACAAGGTAAACTGTGGGTCCATTTTTTTACCTTTTTTTTTTTTTTTTTTTGCACCTTATTTGACATTAATGCTGTTCATGTGTAAACTAACAAAAATAAAACTTCAAAAAAGACTTGCTTCAAAAAAAAATTTAGAAGGAATGAGAAAAAACCCACTTGTGATGGTAGCAGTGGCTTATGTTCCAGAGTGCAGACATGTTGAGTTTTTTCAAATTTTATCTTTTCATTTTAAATATAGGATTGGAATTAATAACACTGCTCAGCTTACTGAGGGCCATATTTTCAGACAGAAGGATTTGGTTTCTGTTCATGCATTTGTGTGTGTGTGTGTGTGTGTGTGTGTGCATGCGCTTATATGTGCACATGCCCAAATATAGATGAAGAACAGTGCTTGAATCTTGGATGTCCTTTTTTAATAAGTTTGCTTGTCAGGAGAACTTGGCTAAGTAACACACACGCCTCAGGGACCTGCTTCCATACCTGTATGTAGGATTGTGCTGTGTGGACCTGGAATGTCATAGAGAATGCAGCTGGGAAATTAAAGCACTGTTACTTCTTTTCTTCAGAGACAGTCCTATGTAATTTCTGGTGACGTTTAATATTTCAATGGGATGCTAAAAAAAGGGATGGATCTTAAGCCTTACCAAATGATACTTCAGCAGTTAGTCCACAGTGAAAGGCTAGGAGGGAGCTAAAGCAGATTCTTTATATAGTCATTATGGTATAAAGTGTTTACACAATTTTGAAGGTTTTTTTTTCCCATCTTGGTCACAGGAGTTGCCAGGTTTAAAAAAGCAAACAAAATTTCTTTATCCTTTACTCTTCTTCCAAAAAACTAGCCAGTTAGTGCAATCTGAGTAACTTCTTACTTAAGCATAAACTCACCTTTAAAACAGACTATGGCTGACACATTCTAGAGCCACAGCTGCATGAACAAGTTTTATGTATGATTCTTTTGACCATACATCACAGTGTGACATATATTCAAAGCAGTAAGTTTTCCAAATGTAGCCCTTGAAGCAGGTACTGGCTAATCAGGGTAAGTTTCTTTTTTGTAAATATCTTCTAAAGCAAGGTCATGGCAGCACTGCCAGAAAATGATACTTGTAGTAACCTGTATGGGCTGATCTGAAACGGTGCTTCTCAGTCCAGTTGTTTTGGTGTCTTTCCCACAGGGCATTACTTACAAAAAAGCTGTAGAGCAGGGAATTGGTCATGCACAGCTCCCACTTGGAAACTTTGTCAAGATGAACAGTCGGAAAGTGTTAGCTGTCAACCATGGTGAGTTTTAAATCACAAAATAATGACATTATTATAGAATATACCTGTGATATTCAGAGTTTGAACCCTAAGAATGTGCATTGTAGTGCAGATACCTGAATCTTATTTTAATATGTTGATATTCCTTGAATCCAATTGCCTTTGGGATACAGTAATTGCCCTGACCTTTAAATATTTTGGGTATGGTTAAAAGTAAAGCATGGTGTCTTAGCAACTTAGAAGTGCACCCCCTATTCTGTTGATTTGTCCCAGGAGTAATTTTGACATTCTTCCCATCCTGGTCTTGTTTTCTAGGCTTAATGTATAAGTGAGTAAAATGTTGGAAACTATCCCATGTATTTTATCCCAGGGGAGGATAAATGTTTGTGATGTTTTCACCTCTTCGGATAGATCTGTTCAGCAATAACTGCTTACGTACCTGTAGACTCATCTTATTTGGTATCAGTGCTCCCTCTGCTGAGCTTTCATAACTGTATTTTTTTCCTGGTTTCCTGGTTCTGATGGAAGCATACAATTGCTTAGCCAAGACTTGATTCCCATTTCTTTTAAACTTTCAGTTTTACTGTTAGATTATCTTTCAGTGTCATTAAACAAAAATACATGCACAGTGCAGACTACTCAGAACTTTATGGAAATTTTTTACATGGTATCCAAGTCTTTATTTCACCCCACTTCAGGTTCTTTTATTTTACCTTCCCTTGCTTTATTTCAAGTTTATTTTATTATGTTACACATTGCTTGATGATAACTTTATTTTCTTAAAATACCATTGATTGATGAGGTATGTGCTTGCATGATAATAAAGATTATTTAAAAGTGGAGAAGAATAGAGTGTATCACTGGAATTAAAAATTACCAAACCCCATGTATTTGTAAGATTTTACATGTTTCTAAAACTTGATCTTTAAATGTTTCTTTATATAGAGAAGAATAGGACTTTGTATTATTATCAAAAGTTATGATAGCTGTAGCTTTCTACTGGATTTTTTTCTGCAATAATCTTACACTGACCTCTAGCGTCAATATTTCTGGAGGCTGTCTTCTACATATTTGAGCACTGGGAATAAATTGGATCGCTTACACTGAGGCTTTCATTTATCTGCTTTATGGTCTTGTGAATGTTTCTTGTGCCACACTTTTAGGCACTTGATTTCACTGCAGTTTATTTGGTGAGATTTCATTTTGCATGAGTTTGTCTTCCCTCGCCCTTCTAAAACATTTTTAAATTGCAGCTGAAAGACTCTTAACTCACAGACCCGATGTAAGGTAAAGATAATACTATAGCTGTATTTTGCTTAAGGTTTTGACGCAGGAAAATGGATGCAACTTCACCACCACCAAAAGTGGAGGTACCTTTAACAGTTGTAATGAAGGCTGGGGTGTATATTTTAACCCTAATAACTTACAACCTAAATCCAAAAAGACCACTTTCAGGGGAGTAAAGCACGAGTAAGGTGGACAGAATCAAGATGTCTCTCAAATCTTGTATTATAAGTTTTGTGTAGGTGAGAAGGATATTTGCACTGAGGTTTTTGTGTTTTGCTGTGTGTACATCTGCCTCACTGCTTTGTGTAATTGCACACCCTTTCTCTTTTGATTTGGTTATTCTGACCTCTGCGCTCCCACCCGTGGTGCAGAAGTAGAAGCTAACAGAGTACAGTACTGGGCTCGCCAGTTGAAGCTGTGGGACCTGGATGGTCCCTGCCTTTTTGGTAGGTGTGAATTTGAAAAGTCCTGTAGAAGAAAGTTTCTGAACTGCCTGATTAGGCTTTGAAGTGCTTTAATTAAATGCGCCCTCTGGTGGTAGGAGATCGATGGCATCGAACAGGGGTGTTTGTTGCTTTTTACTAACTTATTTATAATCCTTCTCTCTTGGGATCGAGTCTCCATATATTTCCACAGCCAATTCAGTGCCTGCATTGCCATGCTAAAATGGCATGAGGAACACACATATGTATGAAATATTTGATGCTAGAATCATAGAATCATTTAGGTTGGAAAAAGACCTTTAAGATCATCACGTTCAACTGCTAACCTAGCACTGCCATGTCTACCGGTAAACCATGTCCCTAAGCACCACATTGACACATCTTTTAAATACCTCCAGGGATGGTGACTCGACCACTTCCCCAGGCAGCCTGTTCCAATGCTTGGCAACCCTTTTGGTGAAGAAATTTTTCCTAATATCCAAAGTTCCCCTAGCATGACTTGAGGCCGTTTTCTCTTATTGCTTCTTACTTGGAAGAAGAGACCAACACCCACCTCGCTACAACCTCCTTTCAGGTAGTTGTAGGGAGCAATAAGGCCTCACTTCAGCCTCCTTTTCTCCAGACTAAACAACCTCAGTTCCCTCAGCTGCTCTTCACAGGACTTGTGCTCTAGACCCTTTATCAGCTCCATTGCCCTTCTTTGGACACGCTCCAGCACCTCAATGTCTTTCTTGTACTGAGAGGCCCAAAACTGAACACAGTATTTGAGGTGTGGCCTCGCCAGTGCCAAGTACAGGGAGATGATCACTGCCCAGTCCTGCTGGCCATGCTAGAAAACTGGCACGGTGTAAGATGAGGTTTATTTTTTTTAACTCATTATGGAATCATAAAATGTGGAAGATTTGAGATCTGTGTAAAACACTGTACTGCAAAACACAACTGTAAGTATAGCTGAGAGAGTTTATTCCCATCTGTTCAGGTTTGTATCCCAAGGCTAATACTTTATAATGTGTGTTACAGGACCACACTGCTTCATTCCAGTCTGCAATGATGTCTACCAGCTGTTGCCACTGCCTTTTTCTGTCCTTGCATAATATTTTTGTTGCTGTTGCAGCCCATTGTAGAAGCCTCTGTTCTCCTGTGGAAGCCACTTTCTTTCCATCAGTTCTGGTTTTACTAAGCAGATAAAGGAAGTTCCAAAGCAAGGGAGAAGAAACGTGTTCCTTATACTCTTCTTGTCTCTTAAGCCAGCATTTTTGCCACAGATGCTTTCTGCAGTAACTTACAGTGATATTAATACAGTCCTTTGAGAGCTCTTACCTTCACAGTATGTTTCAGGAGAATAGCCTGCGTAGTAAAATGGTCAGCTCTTCAATCTCAGTGTCACAGATTGCAGCTGGCTGTCCAGTAAACCTGGATTCAGGAAACCTCTAGTAAATGTGACACTTTTCTGTAACTTGACTCTCACTGAGTATGAGATCCGTGCTGCTCCTCCTGTTCTGAACGCCTGCCTAATTCTCTGTAAGGTTTTTTTCCCTCCACAGCTCCTTTGATCCTTTCTCATATGCTGTCGCTTGGCATTGAGAACGCTTGTGCTGGGTGCATTCTTTGAAGTCAGCATTCTCCAGTGGTGTTAGCACTATTCCTGTAGCCCCAAGCTTGAAGAGCCACCTCTCTGTCCCAGATTTGTCATCCAAGTCTGGCTGGCTTATCAGCCATAGGGCCTCCTCCTGCCTTCCCTGCTGCTGCTGAGCCACAATCTGTGTGGAGAGGGCTTTTTTGAAAAGCGTGTCATTTTTCTAAGTAAGAATTTGCTGATAAATTTTGTATATAATGCAATTTGGAGCTATTGTCAATCAGGGAAAGTTTTGGGAGCTGAAGCAGGTGGTGTAGGAGGGTGACTGTATGGTTAGCGTACTAGAAACAGCAAGAAAGGGTCACAGAGTTGGAGACTAATAAGGATTTTTGCCGTAAGCTGAGGTGGAAATGAAAGAGAAAGCTAATTATAAGAGGTTTTAGGAAAACTTTGGGCTATCCATATGTTAGGGAGGGGACAAAGTCATTGTCAAAGTGCGTCCACAGCGGTATTTCTGTCACACATGGGAAAGCATTAGTGCCTGTATAGAAGGCAGTGGTGAGACCTGAAGTACTGGGGGGACATTTCTTTCTGTCCCTGCGAGAAATTAATTCAGACTGGAGCCAACTGCGGAAGAGCACTGCCGTGGTAAGAGTCTAACAAGTGGAAACTCAGTGTGCTTTGGCTTTAGACTGCAGCAGTAGCAGAATTGCCTTGTCTGCTTATGTGTGTACTTCATCAGCTTTACTCTGAAGATGCCGCAACCGACTGCATGTAAACCTTTGTAAAGATGGATTTGGGGGTGTGTTCCTGTCAGCAGTTCACTGATCTCCCTGTACAAGAGCTGATGGTATTTCTTGGTGTTGCAGTGTTTGAGATCATCCTTGCGTACCTGGAGAAGAGGGACTGGAAGGAGGCCTTTTTCAGTGTCTTGCCACAGCGGAAGGGGGCTGTTCCTTTGGGAGAAGCCAATGATTTGTCCAAACATTCTCTGTCTGGAAAAGAAGATGAAGACAATGACTTGGACAGCAACTAGGCTTCAGGATGAGACGATGGGAAAGATGAGACGCACGGTTCATGGGATAAAACTGGGATATGAAGTAGTTGCACTCCAAAGACCATCTGCTGCCCTTGTGATACTGAGTTGTCTCAACGCTGGGTCATTCCATAGTTGGCCCGGACCTGTTTCTGGACATGAAGGGTAAAGATAAATGCAGTTTTTTTACCCTGAAACTTACATATTAATAGCTTTTAAAGAAAAATAAATTAATGGCAAATGCAGAGTTTATTTTGTTTCCCAAGGAAGCTGTTTAGTTTTTTTTATATATATATTTTTTTTTATACTTGGGTGTATTACCCAAGAGCATGAGTAGTTACTATTTTAATGTACGCATTCTTCTCCATTTCTGCTCTAAGTTTTCTTAAAAGCAGTGAATGACAAATGTTCCTGTGACCTCAGAACCTGTACCACTAGTGCCTGTTGCGAAGTGTGCATGAGCACTCAAACAAATACAATTTCTAACTTTCCTGAGCATCTCAACAGACAGTCACAAGCAACTGAGCTGCCTTTATCAGCTGAGGCACACCGAGTTACATATCGTGTTTAGTTAGCTGGGGTCAGTAGATGAAATGTGAGTGTGAGGTTAAGCCAATGCTTTATATTTAGGCCTGAGTGGGATGGATGTCTGTGCATGCACAGGTCATGTGCCTTGGTTGGCACGTGGTGCACGTTGAGTTGAGGTGACACAATTACTTTTGATTACTTCTTGATCCTCTTTGCAAAATCTTTGCAAAATTTATCAGTCAGCCTCAGAACAATGCCAGGAGACTGGAACTGTTTCTTAGAAGTCACTGGTTCAGTTTCAGTGTACCTGTTTTATCACATGATCCTTGTATGTGTTGTATTGTCTGTCAAATATTTTTCCTTTTAAAAAAAAAAGTGATAGTCTCAGTCTTGGTTGGATGTTCTGATTCAGCTTATTTCTAACGGACTTAAGTGCTTTTGAAAAGTACTGAAATGTACCCATTTTTATTCCTCCCTCTGTTACTACTGCTTTCAAATGGAGACTAGAAGTGGGATCCCTACAGGTCCTTAAGGTCTGTAAAGGGTTGGCAACGAGCTGGTGATGAATTTATATGCTCGGTGCACTTCTTTCTATACTTTGTAAACCACAGAAAAGTTAATTCTGTTAAAAGTATGGATTCTGGTTTTTTGCTCAAGTAATGTGGGTTTTTTGGTTAGGCTTTACAAAAATATGACTGCTTTTATTCCAGGAAAGATCACCTTTTTCATAAAAGCATTGCTGTTTTTATTTCTATAACAAAAAGTGCAGCATAAGTATACCCAACATGTATTAAACTGTTTCTCTGATAGAAATGTGCAAAGCAGTGAAATTACAAGGAGTTACCTCTTTATAGCTGAGGTTCTGCATGTTAATGCACATAGCACCTATTAAACCTGATGGAAGACTCTTCAGTCTCTCTGAGGTTTTCTTAAGACCATTTCATACCTGTGCCTCATTTACTCAGGCTTGAGAGTGCAAGAGCAGATCGCAGAGACAAACTAGGGACTTAGGAGACCAAAGGGTCCAAGAGTGTCTTAAGGAATTGTTCTGTGGCTTAAAACACAGACTGTCTTACATCTTTACTAGTAAAATTAGATAAATACACACACCCATGCACATGTTTTTAAATCAAGCTGTTGCAAATCTGAAGCTTACCTGTCTATGGAGAAATAGAAGGAAAAGATTGTCTGGTATGTTGCTCTTGGCAGGCTCCTAGTGCTAACTCCAAAGTCACAGCAGCTCAGTGACTAGCTTTTGCCCATTCATACGCGTTGTTCATCTCAATCTTCTTGTCCTCCTCACTGGTGCTGTATCCAGCAGCTGGCATTGCTGCTATTTACCTTTTCTCTGTGTTAACCTGGTGAGGCCTTACTAGGCTGAAGTTCATGCCTGTTGTCATGAGCTGGCTCTACAGGATGCTGTCCTCTGGATGTGTTAACTGGTGAGATGGAGCAGTAAGCAGTAGACTGGGGTTTTGATGGGCACAGCCCTCTGCTGCTGCTATCCTCAATGGTTCAGTTCTGCAGCTGTCTGAAAAAGACTGTTCTTGGCAGACCTGGGCTCGCACTGACAAGATTTCTAACACTTTTCTAAACGCTTTAGGTGCTTGGCTGTTCATTGGTGGAATCACCAGCACTAGGCACGAACATACCAAAGTGGTGATTCGTTTTCAAGCAGCAGGCTGTGGCTATGCAGAAGTCTTCGGGGAGAAGTGACTGTTCAGGAAGCCCTGAAGGGCCATTCTTGCAGTCAGTTCAATGTAAAGTTATTGATGGAAACAGCTGAATTGGTTGGAGATATGAAAATCACCCCAGCATCAGATCAAGCGTGAGAAACTAAAACCTGTTTGTGAGAGAGTCTGAGAAAACTAGCTTGTAAACGCAAGAGGGCTTGTGCTTTTTGTGACACCTCCAGTCCCTGACATGCCGTAGCTCCTCATGACAGAGAAGGAACGTAGTTCTTTCTTTCCAGTGTCTTTGCAGTGTGAAAGTGGAGGCTGGTAGGATGCCATTTGCTGACATCCCTGGGAAAATCATCCCGAGTGGTCTTGATTGTGTGCTGTATTTCACTCTGATCCTGAAATGCATACTCTGATGTAGTTCACATGCTGTGTCTTTTTTTTTTTTAACCCCTGAATGTCCCTGGCTGCCTCTGTGAAGAAGGGCATGGTACCTCCTACCTCTACAGCAATGGGCAACTGTTTGAAAACAGTCAAGTGACCAGAAATCTGTACTGTGGGATTTGTGAGAAATTGTGAGAGTCTGAGTGTGGCTTTCAAGTTCGTTTACTTGTAGTGAGGGGCCTGTAGGCATCTTGCATCTGGCATTCGCTTTTCAGTATTTTTAATCTATTCTTATCTTCATGCAGGGAATATCTGTTACATGTTTTTTCCTGTCATTTAATATAGAACTGGTGGGGGTGGGTTAGGGAAGACAGTTCACCCTAATTAAATTGTGCGGTCCAGGTGTGTGACATGATTTATTTTCATTAGAGGATGTTGTTAGTGTGTTACTCCGGGCTTCTTGCCATTGTCAGGTAGAACTAAAGCGGCACTTTACTTACCTATGGTGAAGGAGTTACAGAGTTGATAATAGGCCATGTTACTCTAATGCATTTTATTCTTTTTCCTAACTGCTTAACAAAATTGTTTTAAAAGGCAGCACAGCTACCTGATCTCACCTCTGTTTTTTTCTGAAAGCTCTGAAAACTTGCCCATATTTAGTTATCATGAAAAAGTGTATAAATCATTTCTGTGTTCACTGCATAATGCAGAGCGTTTACATATTTATAGAATGGGCCAGATCTGCAGTGTCAGAATAACCTCTCCAAAAAAGGATAGAAATAAATACTTGCAGAGGAATATTGGTTTGCAAGCTGAGCATTTCACGAAGCATTTAGAAATACTTGGTGTGGATGCATAACCATTTAAATTGCTGCACTATTCGAACCTTCTCAGTGGCAGCAGACAGATCCTAAGGACTGCAGACTCCCAGCTGTTTGGAGTAGGGACAAGTGATAGTTTGGAAGAGTGGCATCTAATTTTACAGAAGACATAGAAATGCAGCTGCCTCGCCAGAGTAGTCTTAAGAGTTTCTCCATCCCTGCTGCACCCTGATGTGATTGTAAGAATCTGCTTCAGCTTCTTCTAGAGAATCCAGGTCACTGGTAATGCAGGCAGGTGGGATCAAGGAAGGCCTTGGAGGACACATGCACAACTTAAGTATAGGATGAAAACTTGACTGAGCAACAATTGTATTGAGGAATAGCAAGTTCAGGCTGGATCAACAGGTTACTATGTATCTGAGACATTTCCCAACATAAATTACTTTAATTCCAATCTTGAGCTTCACACATGGAACATAACATTGTTCTTACTTTACTACTGGGATGGGTGAAATGCCCTTGAGGGAGCTTTATTTTCAGCCAGCTACCAAATACAGTAACAGATGCTTTGGGAAGGGCTGAGAAGATGTAACTGATTGTAACTATCCCTGCAAGCTATCACCCTTCTGGCTCTAACATGTTTGCTCAGTAAGCTGTAAGCTTTGTGGAGGAAATGTAAACATGCTGTTGAAAGACTGTGTTAACATGGTTGCTTTCATTTTGGTTATGCTCAGTAGTGAACTTCTGAGATGTAATTAAGTTTTTCAGGCTCAGCCAGTACAGCAGGCTGCTGAGGGACAGCTGGTATGAAACGCTTAGGACAGAGATTTATACGGAATTAAGACAATCTGAGTATGGCTCAAAAGCATTTGGTCAAGCGTCTGGTCCATTCAGTAAGTCATGAGAACTCAGTGTGTGGTCACTCCACTCTGCTGTTTGGTTTTCAGTTCACTTGGTTTCCAGATGACTTTGTAGTGTTTACAGCTGAGACACAAGGGAAGTTTCAAAGCACTGCCAGCTCCTCTCCTGCTTGAAGCTCCGCTGCCATTTACCGTGGCCTGCAGTGCAGGCTCATACTCTTGCACAGCTGTATAGAAACTACATATCTGGGAAATTCATACCCATTTAAATCATTTTGTACAAATCAGTTTCTGCATCTGTGGTCTGAGTTGGCAAGTGGACCTGAGTAAAGACTGCTCTGGGTGACTGGCCTTCTGCCAGCCATTCACAAATACTCTCTTTGTTCGTCTGTGGCTATAGATTACTTCAAGCCCACCAGGTTGCTTCACCCAGTGCTCCAGCACGGCTGGGCATGTGCAGCAGTGAGTGAGCACCAAAAGAAAGCAGGGCTGAGATTGTCCCCCAGGTCTTAGCATACTCCTCTCCTGCAGTGGGAAATGGGAATGGAGGTGGTAGGTGTTACTGCAGTAGACATGGTTTGAAGTGAAGTCAGGGACTCTTGGAAAGAGTACGTTGAGTTCTGCTCTGACCTAAGCTCCTTTCCTTAACCCTGTGCTAACAGTTCTTCCCTCTCCCCTCAAACAGCCAGATGTTTTGAATGAGCCCATCTGCAGGAAACAGGGTCAATTTATCACTTTTCTTTGATTTTGTGGCAATAAATTGACAGAGGTATGTTTAAAACAGATAAAGCCAAGTCTTCCGCTTTCACAATTCACTCACAAGGCCTGAAAAGGGGACAGATAAATTTCTGTCATTGTTGGCCTCTGTTTGAATGGCTTGAGGTTTGCAAGGTAGTTTTAATGGTTAGTTGGTGTCATCCCACCCTCCCCTCCCCCTCATTGGATACTAACGTTTGTGGTGCTTCTCTGCTAATTCTAGCTTCCTGTGGGGCAGACATCTGCAGTCACTCTGCAGGCCAGATTTTGAAAATCAAGTCTTTTTTTTTTTCCCCAGTGCCTGGTGCTTGATGTGCATCTCTGCAGATAATGTGCGTGTGCCCCTCTTCTTACCCCAGTATGTCTGTGACTGTAGAGTCAAGTCTGCACACAAGAGCTCTTTGTGCAGGCCTGGCTGAGTCTGATGCCAAAAAGCGTTACCTCTGTCCTTTTTTTCATTTAGCTCACTTCCCATGTACCTATTCAGCACGGTTCGGTTGAATCATTTGAGGACTAAATATAACAAGCATAGAATTATTTTAATAGGGAATCTGAACAGATATCTTTATAATGTAAGTGCTAAGATTACATATTTCTGTATGTGAAGGTGACTGGGAGATGCTTCAGTGACTCTGAATAGGGGGACTTCCACTGTTGTTTAGGGGAGTTTCTGTGGCACAGGTGAGACTTCTGATAGAGTGTGAAGGCTGTATGGTCTGTTGTTTCCGTGGCACTTTCTCAACTGCAGTTCTTCCCTGGAAACAGTGTGTCTGCTTGTGCTGGACCTGTTCTTGGTGCTGAGAGCAAAAGTTATTCTTTCTCCCTTTCTGGAAAGCATTTTGAAACAGAGAGCTGTATATTATCAGGCTAGGTTTACGATTATGTTAGACTGGTTTGGCTTTGTTCCATACACAGCTGAAAGTATAGAAGCACATCCACTCTTGAGCAAAGAAGCCTCCCTGGACACCACTTTGAAAAGCAGAGATTGTTGCTTTGGAGGTTTTGTCTTTACCCTTCTTGTTCTTACGTAAGATTACTCTTCACCCACTCATCCAGTAGAGTTACAGATAGTAAACTCTGATAGCATTAGAGCTGGCATGAATGGCTTTGTTAAAATGGTAACATACTCTGGAGCTGATTTTTGTTAAAATGGTAACATACTGTGGGATTGACTTTTGTTGCCTCTGTGTGCTTCAGAAGGGACACAGAAGGTGACAGTGGTGTTTCTTGGGAATGCCAGTATTGTTGGCTTGCCCTGACTGGGTAGAGGATGCAAAAGTGGGCTTTGGTAGCTGAAAAAGTCAGAAAGCCTGATGTAGCCTGCAGAGAGTGAAGGAGATATGTTAGATAAGGGTGAATCCCGAAGTTCATTGGCAGAAGAAGTTTCAGCTTGTGTATAATTTACAGGAGCAGGTTTTAGTGACAAGATTAAGTCTGTACCTCTTGCCGCTGTGTTTTTTCTAGCAAGAAGCAGATGCAGTTGTACATATGTCCCTCACCTTGCTGTATTTCTGAGTTGCACCGGGTAAGAGAAGATTTACATGAATGTCATATCAAGAGAAACCAATTGAGTGGTTGCAAGAATGGGTATCTAGCTCTTAGAAAACTTAAATTCAGGTTTTAAATGTAATTTCTCATATTGCCACTGAATTCTATGATTCTAATTTGGGTCCTGCTGCAAAAGCAAAAGTTAGAGCTTCTGAACATTCACAGTCCTTGTGCTGTTTGGTGACTAGCACACCCTAGGCACGTGGTGTCTTAACATTTATAATTTCCATTACTCACCGTTTCGTGTTTCGACTGGCCACTGATTCTTTAGACGAAGACCTGAGTGAAAAAGAACGAATGTCTAACTTTACAACTGATATAAACTGTGTGCTGCAATATACAGGAGATTTTTCTCAAAGGGATTTCAAGCGCTCTTAAAACTTTGTGATGCTTACGGTGTTTCTGGTTATGAGGTTTAACTTATCCCTAATCGTAGCAAGCTCACTGCAGATTTTACCTGGACTGATTCATTTCCCCTTCTGGACATCTCAGAAGAGGAGGAGGAAGCTTTGGCAGACTCAGGCTATTCATGGTCTCTGCAGTACTTTCCTTAAAATTCAGCATGCCTTTGTCATGCAGTTCTGAAGAAATCAGACTGGACACGAAGTCTTTCTCTGAAATGTGAAGGTAGCAGAAATTTTATTAAAGTTCCCACTTGCTGATCTGGATGTTTAGGGTTGCATTCGGGAGTTCTCTTACCTCATTTTCATATGGCTTAAGGACACAAGAGATATGTTTTGTTTGCTTTCTGCCTTCTCCCAGTCCACAGCAGCCCAGAGCCCCACTGGAAGAACACCTTTTTCCACCCTGCACCAAACCTGCGTGCGCTGAGGCCTGAGTGACTTCATTTCTGTGCATTGTTACCTTTTTGCTCAGCACAGCCACAGCTGGGCCAAGCACGCTTCACTGGATCCCGTTCCTTCTACCTCAGCCACCTCGCTCAGTTCAGGTTTATGAGAATTTCAGGGTTTTATGCAAATGTACAAGAGCGTGTGGTTTTTAGAAAGGGATGCAGATCTGTATGTTTGTTACCTTTTTTACTTGCCCTTGCGAACCATCTTTGGATCTCAATAAGTGAATCTGTCTGCAAAATTTTGCTGAGTTTTTCCAGCACCTGGAAGATGTACAGGATAGTTACCGTGAAGGAAGAGCAGCGGACTGGCAACAGTTTTTGCATGTGCTTTAGTTTAGCCCTAGCTGTGTGTGCGCGCCGTTTGACAGCTGTGCAAATTGCCTAGCCTAAGATGCCCCATCAGTTCTGCCAGGGTGTGAGCTAAGGACGCCAGCCTACAAAAGGTGACGTTGAGTGCGTGACATGTACGCAGCACTTCAGGGACACAGGAAGGAAATCCTAAGCAGTAGTTCCTACATATAAAGTCCCTTGCGTGTGATGTTTAATATTTGCAGGCTGGTTTTAGAGAACAAGTTTCAGCCCGTGAGCCAGCTGCATTGCTCCTCCAGTGACCGCAAATAGCAACTTCCAGTTAGGTGAAAGCAACTCAAGAGGAAATGCTAAATGCAAAAGTCAGTAGACTCCACACTGGGGTAGTGGAGGGAGGGAAATCTGACCAACAAAGTCTCACACCATCCTTAAAAGAAAAAAAGATGTGTAACATCATAGGAAGCCATATACTGTATCACTCATGTCTTACTTTTATTTCCTGATCCAGGTAGCTCAGGTCAGAACGCACATTCTCCTGGGTGCGAGGACGGTAGTGCGAGTTGTCAGATGGAGAGAAAGGCTGGGTAGGAGGCGCGACGTGGATTCCCTGTCTATTTGCAGGTTGTGCAAAGCCTTGGTATTGTTTTTTCAAAAGCTTTTCCAAAATAGAAAACAGTGTGTAAAGGAATGGCTTGACTCCATTTAAGCAGGAATTAAAGGCAGTGTGAAGTATATGACTAACAGTAGTCCCCAGCAAGGGTGTGCAGCAGAAAACGTGTCTAAAACTGTTACTCAATTGAGTATGACCACCTATAGGTTAATGGTAGAGGTTAATTGCTACAGCTTCTAATATACAGTCACTGAGAATAGTAGATATCCATGGCGTAATGTGAAACATCAGATGAGAATGCAAGTGATGCCAGGTAACTACTAATGAAAATCAGATGAGGTAGGGATTAAATCTGGATCTCTGTGGTCTGTTTGCTTTTCCACCATGGATTTGTAATGTGCTGCTGAGCCACTACTCTTCACTTCTCTCTGTGTAGTCTTCACCAGTCTATTAAAGGCACATGAATCAAAATGTGGTTGGCAGAAGGTTCTGTTTGTAAGTGCAAAGGAAAAACAAAAGGCAGCTAACAGCTATTAAGACCAAGTAGTTTGCTTATTGTAGCTATATGACAGTATCTGTCTGCTACATAGCTATCTTGCAGCCAAACCACTGTAAATACAGTTTGAAGAACTATGTTCTGTATGTATAAGTGAACAGTAAAAATAAAGCATGGGGTCTTTACTCTACACAGCTCAGGAATGAAGGAACAACATTTAGACAGACTCCCACCCCCCAGTTAAAATAGAAAAGTTAGGAAAAAAGTGAGTCCTTATTTTTAGCATCTTTACTGCAAAACAGCTTCGTAGTGCCCCCTGCTCTCTGGTACCAATCCAGCAACACTTGCATTCCCTTTTTTCAAGACTCTGCAATCCTCCTTGTGATACTCTTTGTGATGGAATACTAACAGCCCTCAGCTCCTGTACAGTCTCAGTAGAGCAGATGAGTAACTAGATAGCCTGCAGCTTGAGACTAAAGAGTTATTGTGGAAAGAATCTTTTACTGGAGTTTATGAACACAACTGCAAAGTTGAATCTAAACCCCAGTGTGCTGCTTCTACAAAACAGTGTCAACAAAAGTAAAACTCTTAACAATAAGTAATCTAAAGAATCTTTGTGTTGTGAGAGGAGGAGGCTTTTTCTTGTACTTGTTTGTTGTGTTGTGTGACATTTTTTCCCCAGCAGTTTGAAACAAAGTGAATTTTATTCCCATATTCATTAGGTTTGACCATTTTTCTTGCTAGCAAAGCACAGTGACATTACAGTGCTGAAAGTGATACAGTTATAGCGTAGTTATCACTCTGCTTGACACCATCTCCCTTCCAGGCTCTCATGTTCTACACATGGGATCCTCACATCCCTCTTTTTGGTTCTGCACTGTCCTCCTTAGCAGTCTGAGACTGTCAATTCAGGCTGCAGTGTTGAGAAGTGAGAGAAAGTACATCAAAAAAAAAAAAGAGCTGTGTCTTTTTTTCCCTTACTTTTTCAGATGAAGTAGGTCTATTTTTAATCCTTTCAGGAACATCTGCATGTCCACCTGGAAATCAACAGGCAGAGTGTTTTTTCAAGTTGAAAAATGAAGGCTGTAAAATACACTATTGGGGCAGGGGGCATTTTTAATTACAAAAATGCACAAGCCATATTTTAGCTATAGAATCACAGAATCATAGAATGGTTTGGGTTGGAAGGCACCTTAAAGATCATTTAGTTCCAACCCCCCTGCCATGGGCAGGGACACCTTCCACTAGACCAGGTTGCTCAAGGCTGGGGTATATTTCTCATATGTTTGCTTTTACTACCTCACATAGGACATTATTGTAATTATTTACAGAGATGCTTAAGAAATCTGAAGAAAATCCTGGAAAGTATATTTCATAGATGCTGTGTAAATACTACTGCAGAATAATTGCTGGTAATTATGAAATTATTAGATCTCTAGTGAGCATATAATCTGTAAAAGCTATGAAGATGTAAGAGTAATTAGCGAGGAGATGTGGTGAATAACACATAGAAGGGAAGAAATACTTGCCTTTCAAATGTATGTTCATTGCCCAGTGTTCCCTTTACTTGGACCTGAGCTGTGATGACACAGTGCCCTGGCTGAGAGCCCGTTGCACTTCTGCTGTGTAATACAGCAGTTTGGTGCCTCTACTCACGTGTCATGAACTGTGAAATGCCTAGCTCCCTTCGCATGAAACCCTCAAGCTTTGGAAGGTAGGAGTTGGTAGATGCGTTGCTTGAGGCGTTCCCAGTTAGTACGTGTTCTTGGTCAGCTTCTTGCTCGGGGGTGACTGTGTTGCCAGCAGATGGGTGTTCTCTTGAAAAGCTGTTTCTTACAACACAGATCAGAGCATTGTCTAATCCTGTGCAAAAAACCCCAAAGGATACAGTCATTACTACAATAAGCATGCGCAGTTAATTTAGCAAGTCATCTCCAAGGAAAATCTGTGCTGGAAGAATGGAAAACAGAGGTATCAAACCTCTAATCTGTATGTAATAAATAATACAGGGCTTCCAGAGTGCTCTGTAAACACTGAATAAACTTGACATACTTGGATGTGTGGCAGAGGGCCGTAGGTAGTCTGCTACAGAGGACAGTGTGATCAATCACTGCCTGAACAGTGATGACGTTCCAAATAAAATCTGGAGAGTGGCCGGGTAGGGTGGAGCACACTCATTTAGCAGTGCCAATCGGGAGGTAAGTATCATTCCTCCACCTCTCTTAAAAAAGTTGTGGTTTTCAATGAGAGTTGCAGCGTTTAATGAAGAGCTTGAATTCTCCTTTGTTAGTCAGGGTAGAAGGAATTTTATAAACAACCACCATTTTTATCATTAATGTAAGTCAAACTGGATTTAACATGGCAAAGAAGCAGTGCTGTTAAGCAGTTGATGAGGATTTTCAGACCCCTGATTCTATTTAGTATCTGACATAAGACAGATGTGAAGCAGAAGTTAATTACATCTAAACATTACTCTGCTGAGAGTACAAAGTTATCCGCCAAATTAATCTGACTAAGCTATATAAGACTTTGGTCTTTTCTGGCTGCTTGTCTGTTTTACCAGGTTCTAGAAAGAAACATATACCATATACACACAAATTTTTTATGTGTTCTATATTTTTACTTTAGGTAGATTTTATATATATATATATATATATATATACACACATGCACACACAGAATTGTGTATGTTATACACTGGGTAGTCAATCTAAAAGGAGGAGTCTTGCTTTGTTCCTTCAGAAGTATCCCTTCTGAGCTGCAGGAAATTCAGTTTTATTCAGAACCAATTTGGTCCTGCATCACCCTTCATCCCTTATTACAGAAGTTATATCACAGACTCATCAACCGCCAATACCAATACTGATGCAATATCTACTTATTCTAACCATTCCCAAGGAGCTCAGCAGAGATTTTTTTTTTTTCCCTTCATGACTCTTTTGTGCCTTCTGCGGTGTAAATCTGGCTGTGTATCAGCAATTTGCTTTCGGCCACTACCAGAGAGATGTCTTTGTGCAAACATTCAGGGTCAGCTTCTGAAATAAAAGCTCATCCCTAGAAATACTATTTCTTCTGCTGATGCAGATGGCACGCTGGTTTTGACTATATTCCTTTCAGGTGTAGGCGGAGTAATCACAGCTAGGTCTAGCACACAGCAGAGCAACACGGTGTTTTTAGAGCACCAGGTTACTCTTATTATATGCTGCGATGTGTAATATGTTTCTTCTGGAAAAGTACAATAATTATTTAGGTGAGAGGGAAATAGAGAAAAAAATTGTGACAACCTGTCTCTGGCACTTACAGTACACTTGTGAGCAGAGAAGGAAAGAGGAATAAATTATTTTAGCTTAAAAGAAATCCTAGGCAGTTGTCTTGGTAAAATAGTTCTAGTTGTATCTTGTAAAGAATTTAGTTCTGTGAACCTTTATGTTACTAACCTGAGATTATTCATTGCTGAGGACAGGTAAAGATGCTTAGTGGCTTGAAATAAAAGTAACGGCTTTTTTTGATTAAATGCTTCCCTTAGACAGAAACGAGAAGTGGGAGCAGTGGGTACTTTTGGAACAAAATCACATGGCACTTGCATTTCTCTCCGTGTGCCAGGGCAGTTGTCCAGGCTACCTGTGTGGCCCCTCCGCAACTCTCACCTGGTATGTGACAGACCATCCTAGGGTGAGGAATGTTCCTGGAGAAGTAGTACTTTCCCTCAGAGCAGCTAGACTGAGAGTAACGTTGGTTGCGCTTCTGCATGTTGTGGTTGAACTGAGGGTCATACACTGGCGTGAAATTGGTACTTGTTGTGTAACCTTTCTTATTCTCTTGCAAAGTATCTTTCTGCAGAGCAGGTTGGCTCTTCTGCTGATCGCCTGAGGCCAGATGCTGGAGGTGAAGTAGAGAACATGAATTCACATAGACTGAAAGGCAGCAGAAACTTCAATTACTGGGTTTTTTTTGTTATTTTTACCTCTTCCATATACAATTTGGGAAGCAAGCTACCTACTGCTCCATTCCCAAGTAGTTACCTCGGGCAGCCAACGCTGCTTGTGGGCACTTTTCATCTGCTTTTCTTTCCTTGCGGTTTCTGCTCCAGACCTCAGCTGCTCCTTGCCATACGCATCTGAGACACCTTTTTGTGGTAACAGACTATATTGAAGCAAGGGGAGTGGAGTGCTTTCTGACTTGTGACGAGAAGTGCAGGGACAAGTTATGATAGCAAAGGAGATGTCCAGGCCTTTTTGGTTACTATCTTTACTAAGGGTTGTGTATGCAGAGAGGCAACCCCATGTCTCCTAATACTTGGTATCTGTCCTAGATTTGGGGTTTGGAGGTTGAATAATAGACTGGTAGCTGTTACTACCATTACCTAGGGTTTTTTTCTTTTCCTGTAGTAGCAGTCACTAATGTTCATCATGTTCTTTGCCGCTGGCACTTGCTTACGATACTCAGTACCTATAAAGTCTGAGATTGGGAACATCCTAGGAGTGGGGGTTTACTGAAGGCACCTTGCAAATATCACACAGAGGGGTTAGCGATCTATTTCATGGCGATCAGCTCCGGTGCACACACGTGCCACAGCGGGGTGAGGGATCACAGCGTACAGAGGGGCTTCTCCCGAGCTGGGGAAACCCCAGGGGAGAGCAGAGACCTGCCAGGAGCCGGCAGCTCTCGCAAGAGAGAATGGCTGGCGAGGCAGGGGCAGGGCCCGGAGTAGCCGCATCCACACCCCTGCTCCGGGCAGCCCCGGGGAGGGCGCCGCTGCGAAGGAGGGACGTTCCACTGGCCGAGTGGAGGGACTTGAAGTCCCCGTCGGGCAGGAGCGGGGCACCGTTCCGTGACCGCCTGCGCGGGCCGAGGGCACCCGTGCGGCCCGAGCCTCCGGGCGGGACGGCGGCACTGGTCCGAGAGCAAAGGCCGCAGCTCCGGCTGGGGGGTCCGCACCACCCGCCCCAGCGGCGGCCGGCGCCTCCGCCCAGCCGGGGCTGCGGGGGGAGAGGCTGCAGTGCGGGGCGCAGGCTGCGGGAAGCGCCCAGGCGTCTCTCCTGGGGCAGGGACGGGCGGCAGAGCTGCCTGCGTGTTCGGGGTTGAGTGAGTGGTGGAGTTTTTTGGTGGCAGGGGAGGGGGCTACAGGGGCGGCCCCCTGTGAGAAGCTTCTCGAAGCTCCCCCAGCTCCAAGTCAACTCCACTTCTGTTTGGGAAATTGAGCCAATCAGCTGCGCCTCTGCGATAACGTATTTAAGAAGGGACATGGTGACAAGGAGTTGGACTTGTGAGGAGGAGTTGCTGCAGCTGTGTGAACACCAAGGTCAGTGGGGGAACGGAGGAAGAAAGGAGGGGGGAGGTGTGCCGGAGCAGAGACCCCCCTGTATCCTGTGGTGAGACGGCAGGGCGGCCCCCCCCGCCACCCATGAAGATCTACGGTGGAGCAGACATTGATTTATGGCCTGTTGCTCCTGCTCAGATGATCAAGGTTCTGTGCCTGAAGAAGGCCGGGGTCTCGTGGGAAAAGGCAGCCCCGCTGCTGTAATTCAGCGCTGGGAGGATTGCAGCATGCGGGGGAGTCCCACACCGGAGCAGCTCGGGAAGGGCTGCAGCCGTGGGAGGGAATCCAGTCAGAGGAAGTTAGTGACCCATGATGGAGCAGTGTGGGGAACGCTGCGGCCCGTGGGAGGAATTCAAGTCGGAGAAAGTTTGTGGAGGACTGTGTCCTGTGAGAGGGGGACCACGATGGAGCAGGAGGAACAAGTTTCGGACACTCCCCTCACCGAAGATGAAGGAAGTGGCAGCACTGACTGCACCCCCCATTCCCTGCCCCTGCGCCACTGGGGGAGGAGGTAGAGATATCGGGAGCAGAGCTGAGCCCGGGAAGAAGGGAGGGGTGGGGGGAAGGTGTTCTCAAGATGTGGCAATGCTTCTCACTGTCCTACTCTGTTATGTGTTGTTAGTGTCTGTAATAAGTGTATGTTCTTTTTTTTTCTTCCCCTAACGAGTCTGCCTTTTGCTCGTGATCATAAAGGGGAATTTTTCCCCATCCAAGTCCTATCTCGAACCCCAAGCCTGGCTCTCTGTCCCTTCTCATTGCCGGAGGGGAAGGGAGAGAGAGGTGCTGCATTGTGGTTGGCTGCCAACCAGGCCCAAACCACGACACTGCGGCAGGTGGGCCCGGGGGGAGACCCTCCTGCAGCAGTTGGCTGGGCTGCAGGAGGCCGGGGGAAGGCCGCGTGGCGTCGGGGAGGCTGAGGAGGGACAGAGAGCTGGTTCCAAGCGCAGTCTGTGGCAGCCCCACGGCCAAACAGCCAAAAAGTGCCCCCCTGGCACACACGGAAGGGAGGGGCGGCAAGAATGCAGAAGAACGGAAGCTTGCAACGGCAAGGGCCTGCCGGAGGAAGGGACTTCCCCCGAAGCCTGAGGTGCCCCTGCAGAACCGCTCCACTGCTCCGCGGGCTGAAGAGGAAGGACCCGTCACGGCAGGAGAGACGCTGGAGCTGAGGCAGGCGGCCCGGTCTGCTCCCCCCGAACAACCGGCGCGAGTAGGAAAAGGCGATGGGTGACAGCGGTGGGCAGCTCTCTTCTGAGAGGTGCGGAGGCACCATCTGCCAACCCGACGCGCTCCCCAGAGAGGCGTGCTGCTGACCGGGGGCTTGTGCCAGAGGCGGCACCGAGAGACCGCGCGGCCTCGTACGGTCCACTGACTGTCATCTGCTGTTCTTGTTCCACGTGGGCACCAGTGACACGGCCAGGAGCAGTCTGGGGAGCATCAAGAGGGATTACAGAGCCCTGGGAGCGGCGGTAAGGGACTCTGGAGCACAGGCAGTTTTCTCATCAACCCTCCCGGTCAAAGGGAAGGGGTTTGAGAGGACCAGTCAAATCTGGCAAATCAACAACTGGTTACGGGACTGGTGCCACAGCCGGGGGTTCGGCTGCTTAGACCACAGGACTGGGTTGTTCAGCCTGGAGAAGA